ATATGCAGAAAACGTAATACTTCAAGTCGAAGGATAGTTACACCCGTGGTCGCGCTAAAGATGCTTAGAGCATGAATTAAAAGTTCAAGCAACATCTTTAGGATGGGTCAGTCCGGCATCCTATTATCTCTAGATAATATCTGCCCATGTGCGGATGCGAACACACCGTCATTGACTATGAGACTAAGTCAAACATCCAACACACACTAGTCTCACATGTATTAACGATATCCAACTCTCGTTAATACTCGACTATGGACATTTAGATAAATATTTATTTCAAGATGTTAGTCTTATCAGCAGAAGAACACTATCTAATAAACATCTTTTAAATATAAATCTAGGAATATAATACTCCCTCCGTCCCAATTTATAATGCCTGTTTACTATCCATAGGGTCAAACTTCATTCACTTTTTTTCTCAATTTTCGTTAGCAATTTGATAAAATAAAATATTGTTGTCACTACTAGTTTTGTAGATCTTTTGATGTAGTATTTTGATATGTAATTTTTATTTTTTAATTCTATACCATTTGTCATATAAAATGATTTGAAAATAACTTCAGTCAAACATCGTAAACCGAAACAGGCGTTATAAAATGGGACGGAGGGAGTATTTGTTTACATTAGCATGAGATGTGTAAACATATAATATCTGCCTATACATGATAGAATAACGATAAACAGTTGGCCATCAGGGCACAACTCCAACAGTTACAAAATATGGACATTTTTAAAGGGTCATGTGAGGATTACTTCAAATCGTTATCTTATTTGTACACCATTCATCCTCACTATTTAAGTTTTATTCATTTTCCAATTTTTTTTTTTAAACTTGAGATTGTGGTGTACTTGTTAGAATATACTTATACAGTTATACTTTATGGCGCACTCCTAGAATTTTGTTTTTTAAAATAAAGTAAATTCCATAATTGGTCCTTTATAACACAGAGGTTTCCATATTTAGTACTCTATTATCAAATATTACCCTTGTAGTCCTTTTTTAAGGGTGCCTTTCTACAAATGGTTCTTTTTTATCTTCCGCCATATGAGTGTTAATTTAAAGGCTAAAAGTATAATTTGACATCAATATTATGTCTAGTGACTATGATTGTGGGTTAGGATTCCGACGGAAGACCACATTTGTAGATTATGGTTGTAGTCGAAAGCGAATGTAATTCACAAAAGACGCATACGGAACAACCTCTCGAATTGTGTTTGACAAAAAAGATATACTCCTTCAGCCCCTAAATAGATTACAATTTTTTTCTTTCTCCTCTCGATAACTTTTGTTTGTTTACGCGATTTCATTAATTATTTGATAAAATAAAATATTCTTGTCACCTCTTGTTTTGTAGAACTTTTGACGTAGTTTTTTAATATGAAATTTTTATATCTTATTGATATTCCAATTTGTAAATAAAATGATTTCAAAAAGTAGGAAATTTTACTCCGTAACCCGCAATTTGTAATCAAATTGGGGACGGAGGGAGTATTATCATTTTAGAATTACACTTTTAGCCCTCAAATTAAAAGTTAAAACCAACATGATAGAAGATAAAAAAGACTATTTATGGAAGGATACCTATAAAAGAATGACAAGTGAGGTAATATTTTATAATAGGAAAGTAATTATGGAATTTAATCTTTAAAATCAAACAAACACAATAGAACCCATAAAAAAAGAAAACAATACAAAACGCCAAAACCCTTAGCAGTGAGGCGGGTAAACCGTGAAACCTCGTGTGTTGCCATTCGCAAAAGCTAAAGTTCCATCATCAAGGGTGAAGCTATGGGGGACTCAGGGGAGAAGAGGAAGAGTCTCTGGCGCAGGGCACCAGAACAGCCTGGGCCTAAATGCTTTTGTTGTGAGTTTTGTTTTGTTTTCTTAAACTGTTCTCGAGGGATTATACCACACATCAATTAAAAGTGTTTTCTTGTTCTTCAACTTATTAGCATCTGATTTACTCGTTTGGGTATTCAAATACAATACAGCTCCGTCTCCCGAGATGCTGCAGAAGATGGAACTGCATTTGAAGTACCCTACATTTTCACAGAAGAAGATGAACAAGTATCTGGATACTGATACCAAGAGAGCTGCTCTGGCAGCATCTCTTTCTGTGGTTGCTCTTATGTCCTACACTGGTATGTTATTAACCCTTCAATTCTTATCTTTTAGTTGGCAACCACTTTTTAGAATGTCAGTTTCACCCCCGTAGACTATGGAAGCAGCGATGTTGGCGTATCTGATATTGCCAGTTTCGCCCTCGTAGACTATGAAAGCGCGAGGCTGTTTTAGCATTTTAAGAAGATTGTTCGGCTTAAAATGTATTTTTTTCACTCGGTTATTTTTTTAAGTTCACACATCTACTATGGAAAGAACAATTGATATAGATTTAAAAGGTAGTGCTTGACTAAAACATGTCTCAAAATTTCGTTTTTGTAATTGGCTGAAAGTGTGTTGAAGGCTCAGTGCTTTCTATACAAAAATAGAGATAAGTATCCATATAGTCATTCATGAATCATCAATCACCATTAAT